AATATCGTTGAAAGTCTTTGAAAGGTGTTTGAAAATCTTTGAAATTCCTTGATAGCCTTTGAAAGATCTTCGAAATATCTTTCACAGATCTTTAATAGGACCGGATGTGGGCTTTGTAAATGGAACGGAAATGAGTAGTTTATATCCAGGATCCTGCAGTTAGGAAGAAACACCGGAAACGTTTTTCGGAACCGTACTGGAAACGGCAGGTATACAACTCGGATCCGGTTAGCGTGCTATAAAACCGGAAACTTGGTCGGGAACCGGACCGGAAACGACAACCGTATCCGAACATTGCATCCTGGTTCAGGAATTAGCGGGAACTAAGCAGGATCCGGAAGCCGTACCCGATTTTGGAATACTGCTTCCATGAATTGGCCGGAATGTCGCCGGATCCTATCGTTTCCTGCCGTGCATCTTTGACCTGGGAAATAAATGAAATTTGTTTGAATCATTAAATCTTTTTAATATTTTTGTTATTTTAACTTCATTTAATAAATATCTGAATCTGTATGTGTTCTTAATATTTTCATTACATAATGTGGAGAATCTTCAGTTGAATGGTTATCTTCAATTTTTTCTAATAAATAAACCATTGAGTTGTGACCATTTACTAATTTTTTTGTTATCATATATCGATCACCAAGTAAATCATCATCAGGATATATTTTTAATCCTTCATAATGATAATAGCAAAAATACATTGTTAAAAACGTTATAAATATTTCCCATGTATCTTTATTAACACCTAATTTTCTTTTATTTTCAGTTATTGCTGATGTATCAATAGACGATAATGTTTCAGACAAATAGTTAAACATTTCTAATTCTTGACTTTGAAAATATTCATATGAATTCGAATAAGAGTTCTTGCGTACATGAAAAAATTTGATATGTGTATAATTACTAAGAAAACCAAATATGCTTTCACGACATTGAACTGTCAATATAATTTTCAAATATTGTAATATTTCTTCAATTATTGAATCTTCTGATAAAGAAACATTTGGAGATTTTAAATTACCAAGACAAACAACAAAATCTTGTAAAGATGAATCTTCTTTATTAATTTTGATATTTATATTTTTATATATAAATGTACAATCAGGATTAAACTTATCTCCTAAATAACATGAAGAAGATGTATTAAAATATTTCAGTGATGTATTATTATTCAATGTATTTAATAAGTTAAAAATTAAATCATCAAATTCTTCACGAATTTCTTTTTCGTTTAATTTAGAATATGATGAAAATTCATTTGAATAATGTTCAATATAATTTAATATATTATCATTAAAATAATTATTGTACTGAAATGCTTTATTAATATCGAACGTATGTAAATTATCGATTACATCGATATCGTAAAAATTATAATAAGATGTAAATACACGACGACGTTTTGCAGTTGATGAAATGTCTTCCTCTTCTGTCATCCGTCGTTTTGTTTCGATACTTTCATTTATTTCCTGAAGTTTCATTTCGTTGAATTGTTTTTCTGTTTCTAAGATTTGTTGTTTTACTTGTCCGATACATAGTTTCGCTTTTCTGATTTTTTCTTTTGTTTGTTCGATTTTCATTAATACGTCAAATTCATGTATCCTTTTGTTGATTTTATGTTTATCTATTGCTACTTGGATTTGGTTTATATCCCAAGCTTCACTTTGCATTTTTTCGATTTGATTTTGATATTTTCTCTCCTTGGTTAGTTCTATTTCTTCAGCTTCACGTTTCATTTTTTCGATTCCATCCCGAAGTTGTTGAATTTCTTGTTCGATTTTTTCTTGCTCTTCAAGTTGCTTTTTTATTAATATTTGTAGACTTTCTTTGTAATCATCGTTTGTAGCCATAGTTATGTAGTTTTTTTTTTAATTTTTATCTACAATCAAAATAGAAAAAGATATTTCATGAACTGAAATCAAAAGGACAAACCACCAGTCAAGTGATTATAGTCAGACAAGATCGAATGGCAAAATGACGCTAATGCGTAGCTTATTTCATATATAATTCATAATTGACCACATTTATATATGATAGGAGAATAGAATAGAATCGGAGGGACGGACGAATGATTTCAGTCGACAATTTTTCTTCTCTGAACTCAAGCAGTCAGAAAAGTCAAAAATTGATGCGTTATATAATGACCTTTATACGTTTTCTCTTTCAATGCAGTTTACACAGTGAAAAATATCCGAGTTTTTGACGCTTTAATGGTCGAACTTTTTTTTAATCTCACGCAGTTATAATAGTATGGACGCTCAGCCGAAAAAACAGCTCAAATAAGTGAAACAATAGCAAATGCTCTATGATTGGTTGTGTTTTTTGGAAGGGGCTAGTTATAAGATTGGTATCAGTAGATAGAAAATTTTTCTCTATCGAACTGTATATTTAGTTTTAAAAAAATTAGAGGCAGTGCCATGAAATCATCAAAATACTCTGACCAATCCTAACACAGATCATTTATAATGACGTTATTCTTGAGACGGCATGGCCAAAAATTTTGTTTGAGTTTCTCAATTTTTTAGTCAAATCGAGCTCTTCCATTATTAGTCGATGCGCTGAATTGATTGAGAAGTGCCACAGAACTCGATTCTCTCTACTTAAGAAGTTTCAGTAAGTGCATTTCGTTGGCGTAGGATACCATATTTTGTTAGGCAGATATCTTAAAAACCGTTCTTGAGCTAGAGAAACGGACTTCACCACTTTTTATAGACCAAGTACGAGAATGTACTGTGTTAATAGTATCTTCCAAAAATGAGTCCAGACATGTGGCGCCCCCCAAAGTGCATTATTTGATATTGATTTGATGAGTCATCGGGCTGAGCGTACATACTATAACGTGAGAAGTACGAAACGTTTAAATGCATTTCTATATAGATGCATAAAAAGGTGAAAATTCGAATATTTTTAACTCTTTGAAACAAGTTAATACAAAACGCATTTTAACGATTGTTTACTTATGCCATTTTCTTCCGTTCACAAGCTGAATTCATTAAACCTTAATCAACTGTTCCTGTAGAAATCCTCGAGAATTATCGAAAAATCAAGCGATCAATTTCTGGAGACAACGTAGATGAATTCTCTTTAGAGATTGCTTGGAAATGTATTCGTTTTTGCTTGATTTTTCAAGAATCTCTGCAGTTTTTGTCAATCTATCGCAATTCTCTGAGAATATCTATAGAAAGCGTTCACTAGGAAAACTTGTAACTTCGAGTACAGGGTTTAGCAAATGTCATATTCAGCTAAGAAAAAGAACTGACCTTGTTTTTTAGTTCTCTCTATTTTGGGAATTACATCGTATATTGAGACATGTATTTTAGATGACAATATTCAAAGAAACTGCAGATCAGCTGACTTCAGTGACAAGAAATTGTTAAAAACATGGTGATATAACTGATCATTATTGTCGGTGAATTCTTGTCTTATTAGGAATAGAAAGATTGTTGATAAGTTTGACATAGTTGAACACTCTTCTAAAATATACTTATGTTGATAAACTATTTACAATGAACTGACTTATCCTGTTTGAAGTAGACTTTTCCAAGTTAAGATTAAAAATTGATAATAGAAATGCAATACAATGAGTGAAAAAGGAGCAGAAATCTATATATTTTTAGTCTAATTTGCTAGTTTTATGGAAAAAATCTAATCTATCTATTCATGGCTATTACCGTTTTGTTTTCTCCACACTATGAAATTAGAATAAAAATATATGAACTATTCTGTTTTTTTTCTTTCATCGTATTCCATTTCTATCATCAATTTTTAATGTTAGCTTGAAAAA